ATTTTCTCATTAACTAATATTAAGATACTGGTGATGGTGATGGTATTTTCTACATAACTAATATTAAGATACTGGTGATGGTGATGGTATTTTCTCATTAACTAATATTATTAAGATACTGGTGATAGTGATGGTATTTTCTACATTAACTAATATTAAGATACTGGTGATGGTATTTTCTACATTAAGTAATATTAAGATACTGTTGTTGGTGATGGTATTTTCTACATTAACTAATATTAAGATACTGGTGATGGTGATTTCTACATTTACTAATATTAAGATACTGGTGATGGCGATGATATTTTCTACATTAACTAATATTAAGATACTGGTGATGGTGATGGTATTTTCTACATTAACTAATATTAAGATACTGGTGATGGTATTTTCTACATTACCCAATATTAAGATCTCTTGTCTAAAATTTGTATGGTGTTTATCTGGTTTGTTCAAAGTATTGTGAAAGAGCTTTTTTTGCAATGTCTGTACACTGCTTCGTTTTCGCATTCTGTATATCTGTGGGCTGTGGCACATTGGAACATATGGTTCTCGAGGGAGAAAAGTTTTACTCTTCAATAAATGCGAAGTTGGGCATGCGATCTTTTTTAAAATTGTCCATTAGGAAAGACGTATAACCGTTGAAAAGTTGAGTTCCTCGTGAAAGTTTCTTACAGCATTTCATATCTTTCCGAATCCAAGGTATCTTTTTAATGCCCGCCCATTGGCCAAGGTGAATCCCTCATCATCTTTTATTAATATCAAATTTTCAAAATGCGATTCTGACACATGACAACTGTAAAGTGAACTTTTTTCCCTGAGCATAATGTAGCAGGTTTGTTAGGATCGGTTTGTAATATGTGGGTGGTACCACGATCTCGTACTTCCCATCATTGTCTTAGATCCGAGAACAAAAGGTTTTCAGTTCTGGAAAACTTTGATTGTATTTGATGAATGCGTGACTGGTATATTTTGTATGCTGTGCATGTGAGAATAAATTGCCTATGGTCCCTTATGTCATTTACCAGGGCTGTATTAATTTGTGGATCAAAATGTGAATGTGTGCTCTTTCAGCCAAGGGAGTCTTTAATTTTTTTTTTGTTTCATCTAGGCTTCTGTCTGAGAATATAGCAATATGTGGTCTATGGTCAGTGGTTACTATTAAATGCGGGCATCCAAGGGTAAAAATGTGAATGCTTAAGGCCTCAAGCGATAGCGAGGGATTCATGCTCTGAATGAGAGTATCTGGATTCCAGCCAGTTTATAAAGCGTGATGAGCATCTATGACGGTTTTCTTAGAGTGTGGTGGGCTTTGGCATGCCAACATGAAAGGTGGCTGATTTATTCACTACGGCTGCCTAGTCTTAAAATGCTTGACTGTGTTGTCAAATGTTTTCAGGGCAGCGGATTCGGCTAGCATATCTGCCCGTAGGATGTCGTCTGATGGTGCCCTGATAAAGTGATTCATTGCGACATCTTTTTTAAAGTCGTATTTGCATTTTGTACAGCTGTACTAACGATCTGTAATAGCCTGTAGAAACCGTGTGACAAAATCCTGTATTAATTCTTTGTCTTGTTGCATAGTCGCATGTAATTTAATACAAAGTGATGATAGGCCAATTTCAGACCAATATTATTTACCTCAGTGCAGATAACGCCAAATACCTGTTTTTTTTTGTCAGCTAGAGTGCCAATAGGTGGATGATTCCCATAAAAAATACTAATTCATAAATAAAAATATGTATCCTATCTCTTATCTATTGTTTCTAACATGCTTTCTGCGAAATTATTGTCAACAGTCGAACATATTAATAATTCGGTAATACTAATGTTTGGATCTTACCTTAGTTGTCCAAAACTATAGCAAAATTTTATTGTATTTGAGCTACCGCTTATAAGGCTTCACGTACCTTGGAACTTGACAGTAAAATAAAAATAATTTAAAACATCACTAAACATGCCAGGCAGCATTGCAACATTGATGGGATTTGAAAAGAATACATAGCGTTAATAAATGCATGTCATGTGCGAGACGCAATACAAAATAAATCAATATATAAATAATCCAATATGTCAAATGGAGGATTCATATCATGCTTGTGCTTTGTCGATTATTATTATTGTTTATTATTATGGCTGGTGTTTATTATTTATTATTATTTGAAATGAACCTGAATTTATCCCGGGGGGAGTGGAAAGCCCATAAGATGACTTATTCATATGGCGCACTATTGTTACCAGTCCATGTCGGGTATGGGATAAGATATTTTAGACTGCTTCATCATACTATACTCAATACGACTATCGCAGCCTCTTGCCTGGTTACCTGTCCATGTCGGGTATGGGATTAGTGAGCCCTAACATGTTTTTATTCATTTTTTTAATATATTGCTCTTATATACATTTTCTTCATATCGTTCTTTTTTTCAATCTATCTATATTGTCCTTCTATGACATGGTTACTCTATGTCGGGTATGCAATTAATTTATCCTAAGGGAAGAGGATAGTCTATAAATCTGCTTAATCATGTGGCGTTTCACAGCCTCTTTTCTGGTTACCAGTTCATGCCGGGTATGGGATAAGTTAGCCAGATACTTTATCCAATTTTTTATTTATATTGTTTTCTATATACAGTGTATTTCATTTCTTCATTTCATGGTGTGCTTATTTTCTTTTTCAATAAATTAACTAGTGCGGCTGTTTTCTATGTGCAGTGTATTTCATTTCTTCATTGTGTGCTTATTTTCTTTTTTCAATAAATTAACGAGTGCGGCGCTGTTGCTCATCGTGCTAAGCGTTGGAAATATGCCCAACTGCATCATGCCCCCACATCCTGGTGGGAACGGTGCCTCCATCTAAGCCGTGGCAGAAATAAGGAAAGAATGATACCCACATCCCATCGCAATACCAGTGAAAATGCGAAACATTGACAGAATAGTGCTCCCAAGTATTTATGATTTTTTTTCTCGGAAACTATCCTCTATTTGTATTTGAAGACTTATTTAATATGCTGTATTGCAATGGTTTTCAACCAGGGTTCCGACAATTCAGCTCAGGGGTTCCAGTTAACATTTATACCAGAGGTTTTCTATCATTATAGAGGACTTGCACGGGTCACGTGAATATGTTTACGGGACGGCAAAAAAGCGAAAACGTCCATTTGGCTCCCGTCAGTTTAGGGTTACCATATTTTTGTGACTTCAAATCGGGACGCCTCGAAAGGCAACGACCCCTTAGCTGTGATTTTATAACTTTACATTTTCCGATTTTACTACATTCCTACATTTAAAGCTGTCTCGACTTTTAATTAACCATATTGTTATCGAAATTTCATGCGCATATTCTCTGTCCAAATATCGGATTCAGTTCGAAAAATAGGAAGGAATGGACGTTAACGATACCTGTACAAATAATTCGAATTTAGACTAATTAGTATTGGTTTTACATGCGATACGTCTGTCATCAATGGGAATCAGCAGGAAACGAACGCATTCACCTTCAGTAAGTGGGCTAGCGCTGCGCTACACAGAAACAACAGTGACTTATCGGGAAATAAATCTTCAATAATGGTCAGAAGGTGTTGTCTGATTGTTTCGTTAGTTAGCAGGTAATCTATTACTGATCTGATACACAAACTTGGCACTGTCAAATGGTGATTAGTGTTTAATTTCTTTTCAGGAAAAAGGAAAGATAACCCATTATCAGATGCTTATAGGAGCCATCAATATTTGAATTTTGCCATTCCAGAGAGGAAAAGAATAGTTAGAAAAGGAGGGATTTTAAAGAAAGGCAACGGGCAGGACTATTTCAACAAATTCTGTTAACTTGTATGCGTTGCAATATCACTTTGCAGTTGTTAGCATAAACATTTAATGTGTCTTTCGACTAGACCAGTGGTTCTCAACCTTTTACTGACCGCGTACCACTTTACGGTTTTTTACTATGGCCGCATACCACCGACCAAGCTACTTTCTTGGCGTGAGGAAAAATACACAAGAAACATGCTATGGGAGTATTTTATAACGTGGCACTACATCCCTTGTGGCGTAACACGCAAAAAAGAAAAAAAAACATGCCCATATTGCTTCATTTAAGGTGGGCAAAAGCGGTCGAGAGCGATCTCTAAAGCAAAGGACTGGTAGCGTGTCGGCGCTATGAACGTTTCCCCGAACATTGATCCCGGAAAAAGTTATCCCTATACTTTACTATAGCAAACTTTATACTTATTCTAAGAGTGTTTTGATGTGTTGGCGCATATAAACTGGTTTACGTGTTTGAAACCATCATTTGTATTGAAATTATTCAACCATGTGCCGTTTGCAGGTACTGATATATATAGCTAAGTTTAGCCTTGTTTATCGCAGCATTTGCGAGATTCATTTTCAATTACTGCAACTAAATTAAAGCTCCGCGGAAGACATAATGACAATTAAGTTAATTTATTCACAGTTATTTTCTTGAAACACAACTGAAAACTGACAAATATCACTCAAAACTACAAAAACGAGGCAATGTTTGCAACCATGCTTGCGCACAGAATTGTCTGAGCGACTGGTTGCAGAAATTGCAATTGTTACCTGTTGCGTCATTATTGACCTATTGCTGATTGGTTATAGTTACGGAAATAAACAAGAAAACTGAAGCTTGGGAAAACATCCATAAACGCTCAGCGAATACATACAGTAAGGAAGATAAAGTGTTGCCGGTATATTTTAACCAACTGAAAGGTTAATAGTTGCAATAATTCAAACCAGCTCGCGTACCACTTGAAAACTCCCGCGTACCACTAGTGGTACGCGTACCACAGGTTGGGAACCACTGGACTAGACCTACCACACTTCAAAAGAAGCCGCCTATACCCATAACACTGTATAAAATATTTGATAGAAATTACCCCAAGACATCATATCTTCCATTTGAAAGAGCTGTGGAGGCAGATACATTTTTTACTCTAAATTATGGAATGTTACTTCCAGGTTATCTTATCCTTATACATATCTTGATGTTAGTGACTCCAATTGACCCAGAAAACAGTCGAATCTGAGCACGTTGGATTCACGTGAAACACGTAATATATCCCATCCGGAGCAGCACCGATCCACAACCTCCTGCCTATGGAATCAAAACATTAGACAAATTGGTGTACTGTGCGCATTCACAAATCTTTGCAAATCAAGTGTGCCTTTTGACTAAGAAAAATTTAGCATTGAGATGGTCAATCTCAATATAAACCTGATAAAGTTAGAAGTGGAGAGAAAGATCTCCACATGGGCCGATGCTTCGCCCATCTGGCTCAGAGGTGTTTTCCCAATTGAGAAAGCCGTCAGAGCATGTGTCTCCTCATGGACATTTTTGTTCTCTCCGTCAATGGTCGAGGTAAATTTTTCAATTTTTTCTGTGAAGTCATATTTTTTCAACGCAATTCTGACATAAGAGCCAAACCCTAACTGGAAAATAACTTTTTTTAGTTAGAGCGGTGGCGGGGTTGTTTTTTGGCGCAGGATTTGTAAAAAAGATCCAAACGGCTCACATAAAAGTTACTCAATGTTGTTGTCTAAGGCAGGGGTGTCAAACATGCGGCCCGCGGGCCGCATGCGGCCCCAGAGAACTCCCAATGCGGCCCTCAAACGCTTAACAATATTTGTAATATTTTGTTAGCTTTTTTTTTCATCTAATTGATTATTCACACAAAAAAAGGACAATTTACAGAAAGTAGTTTTGAAAAATTAATTTTTTTGTTTGTTTTTAATTTGATCCAATTATTGATCGCTTCAAGCTAGCAAAAAAATAATAAATGAAATAAAAAACACTTAAGGAACTAAATGTAACGCAAAGTACACGAAGAAAGTGGCATTTTCGAAAAAAAGATGATTGCAATATTTCTGTATTTTTAAAAATTCTAAATCACATTGTTTAATTTGGCACATTTCTATCAGCACCATGAAAGAATATAAGTAAACAATATCAGAATAAGCTCAGCAGTAAATATGACAAATTTGAAGATTAACTTCGAATAGAATATTTTTATGCGTTTGTAAATTATTATAATTATACAACTACCTAGTTACTAAAAATCAATATATATAAATCATAACCCAAGCGGTCATATGCCAATGGTAGACAATGTGTCTGGATAGGTATGGTCCGAAAAGTCAGTCATTACTTTTGTTAACTGATCTGAAATGATGAATGTAATATTTTGCATTACTGAAACTAATCAAACATTCTCAACGATCCAGTATTGACCGATGATCATGTGACCTCGTTAATAAGAGTTGGTACTGTAAAATCAATTCAGCCCGATATTTGTAAGCTGGTGGCACAAAGAGATGCCAAACGTCAGGGATATGCAATAAAAAAACATTTGTTAGTATTTTAGGAGTATATATTTAGTTTAGATTTGGTCATTTTATTATGTATTATTCTTTTATCAAATCTTTGTTCAAAAATGTTTTGAATAATTGTAAAAAACTTGATTTTTGTAAAAAATAAATTTGCAATAGTAGTGAAATACCAAGAAATTAATATGTGAATGCCATTTGAAATTTCAGAAAATAACGAAACTTTATTCGGCTATTTAATTGCATCACAATATATGTCTTGTTACAAACTACACACGTCTAAAAATATGCTATTAAGTATACATTATCAAAATCTGTTTGCGGCCCTTTGCATAATTCCCAAAATGCAATGCGGCCCTTGAAAACCCACGAGTTTGACACCCCTGGTCTAAGGGACTTGTCAGGGACTAAGTTTGCCTTGAGTCATACTTTGCTATGTGGAGGTTAATTAAAAACCAGGCAGACTTCACTAGAGAATCCGAGAATCTCTTGTGGAGTACGATTTTAAACTCTGCTCATATTGCGTGTCATCTGCTATTTCTCATTTGCATGTCCAGGATCGGAGACATATTTCACGACAGGCGCATCTACGACTGAACTAGACCGCAACCGACGACTGTGAGCAGCAATGAGGCAATTTCTGAACCTGCAAAACGAAGTTAAATTCGTGCCGTGCGGTGTGCTCAAGTCTTTAAAGACCACTGAACTACAGCTTGAGAAGGTGTGTATGAGCCTCTATCAATATTCAAGGCGTTTTGAAGGATTTATTGCAAATAAGAAGCGCTTGGCAAGTTTTTACATCCATTTTTCTTCAACTTATTTTATACAAAAAAATCAAATAGTACAGCCATTTTGAACAAAACAGGCAAAAAAACTTGATTTAAAACAATTGTTTTAAAACAATACGTTTTGAACAAATCCCAAAAAAGTCAATGTCTAGAAACATAGTAAAACACTAATACGCTTTATTAATACGATAATTATACTCGTTTCTTGATATTGAAGTAAAATGTTCGATTCTTATTCCATTGCAAATTTTGTTCCATCGAATTTTTAAAATGAACGGGGTGCTGCGACCTGCGATTTTGTACATTTATATACTTTTAACAAATGCCAAATGATCTCAAGTATTGAAAAAATGAATCATTTCAAATGCAAGGAGTTTAGAAACGGTCTATTTCTGTCGATAACCTAACGGTAGTTTAATGAATACTGGCTATGTGATTTTCAGATTTTTTTCAGTATTTGTTGGCGCGTTTGCCCGTTTTTCAGCTATTAAATATAATTCATATCTCAGATAAAGTTTAGTAATGGAAATGTCGGTACATATATATTCTCATTGGTGAAAAAAAAATTTAAATAAAAAAAAGTTATTCTCAATAGTCATTTAGCATTTTCGCTGCATTTTCTTCATACAGTATTTCTAATGTTTCGACCCTGCTTGCTAGCATTTTTCGATATTATCGCATATACGGCATACACCTCAACTCTAAAATACTTTGATATATTTTCCTATCAACTCTTGTATCAAATCGATCTACCTAAAAAACCTAATTCCCTTTATAATTCCCTTTATAATGATGACAATAAGTAAAATGAAACTAGTGGTCATCGTTAGCTTAACTTTGAGATCATCTTTTGAGTAAGTTCTCGGGACTTTGCTTTGACCAAATGAAAACGTGTCAGTGTTATGGTCGTGTTATATTGCCAGCATTAGTTATAGCTTATAGGCAATCACTTACTATATGGCGATTACTGTCATTAACATTGTTTGGGCCAATTTCTTTTCAACCATATGTTTCAGTGACTAAATTTATTTATGCATGTTGTAAGTTATCCTCAGCTGTGAAAAATGCCAATGGCGTGGATCCTAAACGTTGGTACCTTATGGTATTTAATCTTGCATCATATTTTCATCCTCCTTTGTTCGCCAGTCCGGTTTACGATTTAGTATGGCGTCATAATGAGGATCAACACTATTTTAATGAATCTAATTTAGCGCTTCAGCTTGAGACTTTTATGCTTTCTTTGTCCACATTGAAATGTTGGAAATAGGTTCCTCATGACGCAATAATTAGTTAAAACAATGCAGTTCATTTTTATCCCAGGGAGTCAGCGATACGCGCAAAAGACCAACTTTCATTAATTAACCAGCTTTCACCATGACAACAAGAGGACAAATTAACGAAAAGATTTTATGATAATGAATCCTGTAATAAATCTAATACAAGATTAGAAGCCTCACAAAATATTTAATGTATTACAAGTTTTATAGCAAGTCATATTGTGCCAGAAGCTAAATAATCAGTAGGCCTACAGTGATGAGGTGTTCTATCAGGACTAGGACAAAAGAAGTCAGAAGTCGGTCATATTTTTATATGCATAGCTTCGGATAATTCATCACTCGGCCATTTATGAACTATTGTTTGCCCATAAGTCCCGTATTCAGCGATATATGGTATTATTCATTGCCCGTGTGGATATGCAAAATACAGTTCGACTACTGTAGGCCAAAAATAGGAAACGAAATCAGTTTCCGGATATTTGCAGTTTCCTGTGTAATATATTTGGTAGGAGATACTAGAAAATATATGGCGAGACCATGCGCACATTTTTATACCTACCAATTAATTAACAAAATTATCACAATGTTTCATTTTAGTATTCTAAATTCAAGGTTGGCATACACAGGTAAAAAAATATTTACTTCATTTTTCGTATTGCGTTAGATTTGGACTCATTGGATAAGAAGTGTATTTGTGAATTATTTAGAATTTAATGTGAACTATTCCGCTTAAATTTTTGTTGCGGTTGTTGCTGTTGAATTTGTGCATGTTGTTTTTGTAAAAAATCGCTTTTCTCGCAACTAATGGCCCGATATATTTTGAATTTTCGGGATATAAAGAAGCTAGGAGGCCACTTTTCAACCATTCAATACCCAACATCAACTGGTAAACAACTGCTAATTATTTAGAATTTAATGTGAATTATTCCGCTTAAATTTTTGTTGCGGTTGTTGCTGTTGAATTTGTTCATGTTGTTTTTGTGAAAATTCGCTTTTCTCGCAACTAATGGCCCGATAAATTTTGAATTTTCAGGATATAAAGAAGCTAGGAGGCCACTTATATTATTTATATTTTTAATTTATTTTTAGAAAACCAATGTCTATGGAACTGTAATTTTACTGTTTATGTTAGTTCCTGGGAATAATTTTAAATGACCTTGATGTCGCATTGAATTAAACATGTATAGCAGGGGTGGCCAACCTGCTTTCGACCGCAATCGACTGAAATCTTCTGAATAGCTCGCGATCGACTGATCGGTAAACTGGTCATACACAAAAACGAATGATTACTGAGCATGCAAATGACTACACATACGCATAGAAAATTACACCGCTGCCAATAAGCTCGGCTCTGTGGGCGCATTCTTAATAAAATCGCCACACAAATGTGTATGTTTTCATGTTCCATTTGATTTGTTATTAATATGATTAGGTAATTATACCGGGATTGAACGATTCATCATCTATTTAAGATGTATTCAAATAATACAATTCAGATCCACAGTCTGTCTAATTTTTGGTCGTAAATCTTAAAAACTTGTATATATATATTTGTATTTATGTATTATCTAAACAGCAAAAAATATATATTTTCAAACCATAAATGTTACATGACTGACCAAACTTCAGTATCTAATTTACAATTTCTTCCGAGTCCAATTCTTCGCTCGCTCGGAATTAGAAAAAAATTGGCATTCTGATGTCACTGCTGCCGTTGCAAATAGAAATTAATTTTAAAGCTACTCTTGGAGTAAGACAATAACTTTTACATACTGCAAAAGTTATTGTAGGATTGTTTGTCAGTCAAGACACACAACATCTGAAAGTTTTTAATAGTAAACTTCGAATATTTTTATGGAGAGACTTCATAGATGAATCGAAGCACCAGCATAACAAATAATTTTAATAATACCCATATTTAGAAAACCCACTAGGTAGACTCAAACATACAGTATTTTTCCCAGGCTACTAATCTAAATTGGGCTAAACAGTCAAATTACCATTCAGATGCACATGGATAGTAAAGCGGTAGGTAAGTGGAAAGCCCGATTATGCGCCATGAAATTCATACTTAAGACGCCATTGTCATCAATAACACCGTGTTTTTGACATCTAGTCGCGGGAGCCGACAAAAATGAATAACTTAACTTCAGTTTAAGCATTTAGGCAGTTGGTAACTTCAAAATTCAGTTAATTTAATGCCTCACAATTTTTTGGTCCATTTTTTCCCCTACAAGAAGTGCAAAGTTCTTTCGTATCAAATGAATATTAATAATTATGAATGAGGTAAAGTTTTTGAAGAATTTTCATCTGTTTTAATTGTTTAACAGTCGATTTTAACATGAATTGTTTGATTCTAATTATTCATGCAATACTATTGGGTCCATTGTAAATTAACTCACCGTTAATGCAAGATATTGAAACGTTGGCAACGTCGACATGATGGGACAAATCAATGGAGCAGTTTGGACAAAATATGCCACCAAGATAATTACACATCCGAGTTCGATTTTCTCGTGATACAGTAGCGTTTGGCAAATCTGAAACACAACAATGTGAAATATATTCCAGGTTAACAAATAAATTGATTTCAGCAATGACAGTAATTTTAGAATAATAAACTTCATGTCCCGTATAAGTTGTATTTTTCATATTTTTGAATGTTTATTGTTCAGTCAACAGGCAAAATGCAAGCAGATAAAGCCCAACTCAGGTACACAAATGAAAATTATTATGAAGCAGTAAATAGTACTAAAGAACTCGTGATATTACCTCATGGGCTTAAGAACGACTTAATTAACTACTTTCTAAATTACTTCAGACTTAATATTAAGATTATTAACTATATATTCGATTCATATCATATCAATCAACCTGTCATATCAATGTTCGCGTTGCATAAACGATCAGTTGCATTAGTTAAATTGTAAACAGCAGCTTGCAATTTCATGCTTTTGACATCGAAAAAATTCCAGTTGAAGAAAAGTTCTGGAGGAGACATTGTAGCTACATCACTATCTGATGAGTAACATCTACACCAGTGCCCGTGTTTGGTTCATTAGGTGATTTTCGTCTCGGACATGCAGTTGAATCCTAATGACAAGTCGGAATATCAGGCATTTCAGAAAAATTATATAACTGTTTAAAACTTCAAATAGTGTCATTCGATAAATAAAAAAAATCTCACTTTGAATATGAATTTGAACGAAGAACAGCATCGAAAATGTTCGGATGTTCATCATTATGCTTAAAATGGCACTCATAGGTACAACTAAAACATAAATTAAAAAGTTTAACGCATTCAAACCATATTTTGGATAGCTTGTCGTGTAACGATGTACAATTTCAATTTTTGTTTTCTCTTCCCCTCTATTAGATTTCACAAATAAATAAGGATACACATTTACCGAAGATTCCGAATTAGTCATTTTATCTGACTTTCCTTGTAAAGATGTGCAATCTAAAGTAAATTTTAGTTCCGGTTCTTCATAAGATTTTAAAATGAATAACGATACACATCTATTTATAAAGAATCCTAATGATTCGCCACTTCAGGACTTAAATTTGAGCAAACCGATTTTCACACGCTTGTTTATTTTTATGTATAGTTCTATAACTTATACCACAACAAACAATGATTGGACCAGAAGCATAGACCAAGGACAGGTATAGCAAGTTCGCCTAAATAAAAGCTAAATCCAAACCATTATGTTCTCAAGTTTTTCTTTGTCAAATAAGTCAAAGTTGTTTATTTAAAACTATTTTGATGTCTTTAGTAAAACTCTATCATCAAATTATCAAATGTTGTATTCCCTATTTACAAATATTGCCGAATGTAATGTCGAAGAGGCGCATGCATGTTTGGAATCTTTGACCATCTGTGTGAATATAGATAAAACTAAAATATAGATGAATTTTGTGATAATACAAATAGCGGCAACATTTTCATAAGTGGGCTTGTCATGTGTTCAATCCAATATCTTCCCTTATATCTTCCTTCACTGTAGAGCAGCGATTCTTAAACTGGGGGGCGCGAAGGTAAGTCAGGGGGGGGGGCGTGAACTGTCAAATGTAAAACAAGCTAAAAATCGTGAAATTACGACAAACAACGAATCCAACAATGCTTCCGAAGAATAATTTTATTAACTCGCAGTTTCAGCCACCTCCTGGCGGTCACTCGTATGCTACGCATTGCAGTACTACCCGCAATCACGACCGGTTTTTCGTAGCTGTGTCACCAACGTGGCTCCGCGGTGGCACTATCTCACGTTTACGACATAATTACATTCAACTTCAAAAGTGGACACGCCTCACTCCCACCCATCCCGTCTGACTGCGGCTATCCTTGTGACGCAAGAATTGCACGGAGATGACGGGCCTGGTACGCTTAAGTCTAAACAAGCGTAGCTCATTAGATATCGATATACAAATTATTTAGTCGTAAGACACAAGATGAATTCAAAAAAAAAAAAAGTTCGACAGCCAATATGGATTCACTGATGCGACGGAAAATGGTCAGGTCGTAGCAAAATGCGTCATATGCCTCCAAAGCTTGAGTAATGACGCTCTGAGGCCAAGTCGGCTGCAGCGTCATCTTCGAACCAAACACAGTTCTCTTCAGAACAAGCCGTTGGCTTTCTTCCAGACCAGAGAAGAGTCTTTCAAGAAAATGAAGATTGTGGGTGAAAAGAGCTTTCGCCAATCCTCATCTGCTGAAGTAGTTGAAGCGTCTTACGAGATAGCTAATATGATTGCTCGTGCAAAGAAACCCCACAATATTGGTGAAACCTTGATCAAACCATGCATGCTAAAGCAGCCAGCCTTTTGTTGGGAGAGAAAAACAGCAAGAAGCTAGCGAATATTTCTCTATCCGATTCCACGATAAAACCGCGCATTGATGAACTCGCAAAGAATATCGAATTGCAGGTTATCGAAAAGATACATTCATCACCTTGTTTCGCCATTCAATGTGACAGGACAACTGATTTAACCCAATTGTCTCAGCTGATGGTCTACGTCCGTTTTATCGGATCTACAAGCATTGAAGAGGAAATGTTGTTTTGCAAACCCCTTGAAACCACCACCAAAGCGGAAGATGTGTTCAAAGCTGTTGCTGCGTATTTTGACAGCAACGCCATCAAATGGGAGAACCTTGTGGGAATATGCACTGATGGGGCCCCTGCAATGCTTGGGTCACGAAGTGGATTTGTTAGCAGGATGAAGCAGAGAAGCCCCATCGCAATCGGAACTCACTGTGTAATTCACAGGGAAGCTCTGGCATCCAGGACCTTGCCTCCTGCATTGGATGACAAGCTTGCTGTTGTCATACGAATTGTTAACTTCGTCAAAGCAACACCAGTCAAATCGAGGTAGTTTGCCAGGTTGTGCAAGAATATGGATTCTGATCATGAGGCTCTTCTGTTTCACATGGCGGTTCGATGGCTGTCAAAAGGTAATATGTTATCTCGCGTTCATGAGATGAGGGAGGAAGTGAAGCTATTCCTCGAAGCGCAGGGAAAACAGGACCTCCTGCTGTCATTCGCGTCAGACAGTTTTCAACTTGGGTTGGCATACCTTGTTGAAATTTTTGAAGCCTTGAATCTTCTCAATAGATTATTACAAGGCTATAATACCAGCCGAATATATCACTACGATGCCATACATACGTTCATAGCGAAACTTGGACTATGGCTTCGTCGAGTTGAAAGGGGAAACGCGGCATCATTTCCTACTCTCGACGCTGCCCTCGATGAAAACAAGGCTGATCTGAAGGGAAAACTAAAGACTGAAGTGGAAGCCCATCTCCAGCTATTGAAGCAGGAATTCGATATTTCCCAGCGATATTTCCCAGACCTGGCTAACACTGAACTACCAGATTGGAAAATGACCAGGAATCTCTTTCGTCTCAATGAAGACATTCTGCCTGACGCTTTGCAGGATGAATTCTTGGAGATGAAGTGCAACTCCATTGCAAAAGATGACTTCGAACAATGCCTCTCAACGATTTTTGGGTGAAATACATGGGCGTGTATAAAAATGTTGGTAAAGTGGCTTTGCGTACTCTAACACCATTTTCTGCCACTTATCTATGTGAAAGTGGCTTCTCTGCACTTGTGAGTGTCAAAAAAAGCTCGTAACAAACTCGACTGTGAAGCCGACCTTCGATGTGCATTGTCCACTACGAAACCCAGAATCAAATTCCTGGTTTCCAAAAAACAGCTACATACTTCCCATTAATCACAACTAGGAAATAAACATTCATTTAACATTTCTTGACTTGATCACAACTAGGAAATAAACGTTCATTTAACTTTTCTTGACTTGATCACAACTAGAAATTAAACGTTCATTTAAAATTTCTTGACTTTTTTCGGAGGGGGGGGGGGGTTGCGTGAGTTTTTATTAAACTTCCAAGGGGGGCGCGGCCAAAAAAGTTTAAGAACCCCTGCTGTAGAGCATTTGAGAAATATACACAAATTCTTTTAGAAAAGAGGAGACAACAAACCAGATTCAGAGAAGATAATAAGATTATTTCAATGAAATGTGAGTTTGCTGTTGTATTTAGGCTATTTTATAACTATTGAAACGCTAATGAGGTGAACAAAATTGAGATCAAAGATATTTTGAGTAGGTTCGCGTGACTTTGCTTTGAGCAAATTTCCCTATAAAATCGAGTCAGTTGTATCGTCGTGTTATATTGTTAGAATCAGTTATATCACCTACTATATCGCGTTTGCTGTAATTGACATTCCAAAGGTCCTAAACGTCTGTACTTTTTTTGATACCTTCTTTTTTCACCAAGCTGGCCATCGGTTCAGTATGACGTCAAAATGAATAGAAACATTATTTATGGAGTTATAATTTGATTGTTGATAAAAACCGATACAGACGAATACTTGCCGTTTGCTGACCAATGAGGAGTGTAGAATCGTATAAAGGTGTTTCAATTCATTGATAGAAAAGGAGATTCTGACTTCAAAGATTTAGAGAAGAATAATGAGAGGCGTAAGTTTTTGAGGTGTAATACTTTTTTCGGATATAACGCTGTTGAGGAACCTTCTGATTCACATATCAACGTAATGTTTTGCTCAAAATCAAATTATTGAATAAAATCACCTTATAGCTTGTAGATTCTAATATTTTTCAAAATGCTGTATTTCGCAAGTTTTAAGTGGTCCCGAAATCTCGTCACAACACGAGAAATTGATTTGATTTTAATTTTCGTATAGTCGGTAATCTTATCATCATTTAATAAAATTATTTCACCCCAACTTGAGCTCACGCACTCATTTATCCACTCTGGATTACCTGCGAAGGAACCCAAAGTATAATATATATACTATGGACTATGGTCAATAGGATAATTCCGGTGAAATGTGAGATTGGTATTTATTTCAGGCGGGTTTGTAACTATTGAGACGCCAATGAAGTAAACTTTCAATTCGTTCCTAGCAACAACAGAAATATTTAATTTTTAGAATCACAGAATACATGCCCATGACTGACGAGGCTTGCATGTATGCATATCGAATGCCATTTTTAGTTATATATGTTTATTTTAGACGTATAAAAATTGAAAAACGTTCGATTCGTAGTTCATTGATAAATTTTCTTCCGTTGATAGTGTATCTCATCATATCTGAAGTTATGAAGCGGTCTAAAGTCCAAACGATTGCAGACATAGAATATACAATTTGAGTCGGTAATGGTTCCAAACTTAATAATATTGTATAGTAGTATCAACTCTAACTCGTTACTGTACAGAAAGCAATTATGTCGCTATCAAAAAAGGATAAAGGTTGTTTGGTTCCATTGCAATTTTTTGTTCTTCGTCATCAAGAACAAGTTTTGGTATTATTAATATTAATTGAATTTGTAAATTGTTAAAAAAAAAACTTTTTGCTTTCAGTACCTTAAGCTGTTCAGTTGCACTTCCGACGCATATAAAAGTTGGGAAAATAGTTAAAGACGTATACGCTTTAATTTTGCTCGTTTCTCGGGATTTTCAATTGGTCGTGAATTGTTCTGCAATGTTATATAGTAGTATCTCGAACACAAACACGGTTCTGTAAAGAAAACAACCAAGTCTCCTAGCTGGACTATTCAAAAGGAAATGTTTGCTTCTAGTTTATTGCGACTTTATATGTTCTACTACAAGGATTCTGTATATATATATATATATATTTAACAAATGCCAAATGATCTCAAGTATTGAAATAAAATGAACCATTTCAAATGCAAGGATGGTAAATTCGGTCTATTTCTGTCAATGACCTAACGGTAACTTACCGTAATGAATACTGGCTATGTGATTTTGTACTCTATGTGAGTTGTGTACCAGGTTAGGGTTCAGGTTTTGCGACATCTTGGTGAGCATACATCAGGAGTACCTTTTTTCAGTATTTGTTGGCGCGTTGGTCCGTTCTTCAGTTACTTAGTAAATGTTGTTTAGTAATATCTCAGATATAATTTAGTAAATGAAAGGCCGGTACATATTCTCATTGGTCACAAATAAGTTGAAATGAAAAAGTTATCCACGATAGTTATTTTCTCCGTACGGTATTTCTAATGTTTCAACCTGCTTACCAGAATTTTTTAGACATTATCGCTTATACGACATACACCTTAACTCTAAAGTGCTTTTTTATTTTGCTACAACTCTTGTCTCGAGCCGATCTACCTGAAAGCGTATTCTTCTTATCTTCAATGTTAATTCTCGATGGTGACAATAAGTAAACAGAAATGGTCACAACCATAGATTCGCGTGATGCATTGGGAAGTTTAACAATTTTAGCCGTTAAGTTTGGTTTCCTGTGAACTCTCACCTAAAGAGTCCTAAACGTTGGTACCTTTTGGTATTTAGGCGTCTTTCCGCCTCGTCGTTTACACCAATGACATTAAACAACATGATGCGCAACTCCGCCATTTTTGGCCGAAGATCGTATCCGATAGCACGCTCCAATGCACATACTTGACGAAACGAAAACGAGCGGATGTGTGCTGCTTTCAGGGAATAGCACGAATGGTGTTCGTACCTGCTTTGATAGTTGTTGTCGATTTTAATGATATTTTGTAAAGTTGAGGTAGAAAGAAATTGGAAAAAGGTAAGGTAAATACTATTGTTGTATATCACACCCGGGCATCGCACTGTTTAGTACATGTGGGAAAGCCAGCTTTTGTCAAATACTACGAAGTTATTAATTCAGTACGGTACGTAGTTGTCCATTTGCCGAAATTGCATATTTACTTACCCCTTATGGTTTCAAATAGTTCATGCACCTCCAGTTAGATTTTTTAATCAGTGAGGAATATATACTCATTGCTGTAACATACTATTGCTCAATAACTTTTATTTGCGTATTGAATCAAAGGGTTAACAAGTTCACCTAACATTTTACTCATACAGGTCTATATTGTATAGTCTGATCTCTCAAGTATAAGAATGCTTGTAATTTTCTGACTAAACCCTTTTATTAGTTGTTTTATATACCAAATTCAGTAAAACATATTTTACATAGACATGGGATATTGGATTTATTAGCTTTTCCATTCTAAATCATATAGACTGCTTTATTTATTCTTAACGAAAATTAATAAATCTCCTCTCTTTCTTCAGATGTGAATGTTGTGGAAAAACCTGTCTAAGCATTGTGAGACTCCTGCAGCACAAGCGGCAATAGCAAAAATAGTAAGTATATCAATCAAGAAATTAAGCCGACATAAAGCGAAACTTTCAACTATTTGTCTAATCTCAATTTCCTATTATTTATTCACAGGACAACTGTAGCAGAAGGGGAGATATCAGAAGTCTGGCGACATATCAGTGACAGTGTGATTCCAAGAAATATAATTAGAATACTTCATAAATGTTTGCAACAGAAGAACAATCTATGGAGGCATGCAAATGCATTTGACCCTCCGGTAGAGTTGTGTATGGCCCCTACATCCTGCAAGGCTTGAGGAAAATAACTAAAAATTCCAATGCGTAAGATTGCATAAGCGGTCTTATTTGTGAAAAAGCACAAAACATGCCAGGCATACTTAAAACAGCTTTGAAAAATGAGGATTTCGGGTCACTCACTACACCTGTGTTATATTTGGTCCATCAACTTTTGGTAGTACTGTAGAAGAAATTCAGGAAAGGGTATAATCATGATTCATGATAAAATATTGGTATATATTTTGGACAACTTCAATCTAGACCAAACTCGCGGCTCCAGAGAACTTCCAGTGCGGCCTCGAACGCTTAACAATAATTGTAATAGTATTTTGGAAGTTCTTTTTATCTAAATGTAACAGATTTTTCAAACTTTTTAAAGTGAAATTGAATATTCACACAGAAAACAATTTACTGAAAGTAGTTTTAAAAAAATAATTTTTTTTGTTCACATTTTAACCCATTTAAGAATACACATCAAGCTAGCAAAAGAATACTTGAATAAAACACTTGAGTGATTAAATTAAACGCAAAGTACATGAAGAAGGTGGCATTTTCGAAGAAAATGGGAGTTGCAATATTTCTGCATTTAACAAAATTCTCTGAAGCACATTGTTTAATTTGTCATATTTCCATCAGTACAATGAAAAAACACAATAAGCTTAGCAGTCAATATGACAAATTCGAAGACCAACTTCGAACAGAAAATTTCCATATGTTTGTATATTAATATAATTATACAACTTTTTTGTTACTAAATATCAATAATAATTCAAGCAATCCTATGCCATGCAATGTGGCGCGAAATGTCTTGTCGAAAAAATCTGTCATTTGTTTTTTTACTGATCTATACATGAAATGATAAAAGTAACTTTTTTGCATTACTGGAATTAATTAAACATTCGCAAAGATTCAGATTAACCCATGATCATGTGACCTCGGTAGTTAGAGTTGGTACTATAAAATTATTTCATCCTGGCCTTAGTATGCTGGTGACACAAAAAAGATGCCAAACGTCAGGACAAATGTAATTAAAAAACATTGAGTTTATATTGTAATATTTTTCTTTAATTTTAAG